CCCCAGCATGAACTCTCCCCTCTCTTATCATCATCATCTGCCGAAGAACTGCTAGCTTGAAAAGAAATGTTCTCCTCACTTCACTTACCCTCCAGCCACTGCCCTATTTCTTTACAACCCTTCACAGCAAAACTGCTCAACAAAAATTTGTCTATCTTCACAGCATCTAATTTGTATCCTCTGACTCTTCCTTAATCCCACTTCAGTCAGGGTTTTAACTCTACCCACTTCACCAAAACCATTCTTATCGAAATCACCTTTAACGTCCACTCATCTGAAAATCTATGGACCAGTCTCAGTTTTCATCTTACTTGACCTTCAACATTTAACCTATATAATCACTCCATTTCTTGATAAGCCTTTTTAAACTTTTAACACATAGCAGTTCTGGTTTTCTCCATCATTGCTTGCCATTCTTTCTTGGCTTTGTTGCTGGTGATTTGTGTCCTCTGTGACACAAACCAATGTATTAGAATGCTTGGGGTGTTGGCCCTTGACTTCTTTCCTTTTCCATCTTCAGCCATCACTTAGTATCTTCAAGGATTGGCTTCAGGACACTAAATGGATACCAAAATCCACAATATATACATTTATATATAAAATACTATTTGCATAGCACATATATATCCACCCATATATTTACAATTATTTTCAGGCTACTTATAGTACTTACTACACTGTAAATGCCACGTAAATAGTCACTGCACTATAGTGTTTAGGGAATAATTACAAGAAAAATGTCTGTACACATTTGGCATAAATGAAATTTTTCTCTCAATATTTTTGATCTATGACTAGCTAAATCCAAGAATGTGAACCCCTATAATATGACATGTCAATTATATTTCTTCCTTCAGTCACTTCTTTTCATCTAAGAGCTTTAAGGGTAATGCATATGTCAACAAATGTTGATTTTAAATCTTCCAAACCAATATTCTAAACTCCAGACAGGCTTATCCTACAATTGGTGTGATTTCACCCGTGCTCAATATTATATCCACAATCAAACTTCTGATCTCAGCCCCACCTCTGCCCTCAAATCAACAAATCTGCTCCCTCTGTAGCATTCTCTTTGGTTTATATTCAGCCCTTGACTTCAACCAAAAACCTTGGAGGCATCCTTAGCTCTTCTTTCTCATTTATTCAACATCAAATCCATTGGAGGATTCTGTGCAACTGACTTCAAAATGTATCCAGAATCCAAATTCTCACCATCACTTATCTACTACTCTTAGTTACCTCCAATTTTCCACTAGTTTATTTTTTTCTGGTACAACTTTCTTCCCTGTATCCTTGTCCCCTATCTTCTACTCGCAAACAAAAAATGTGATTCTGTTAATTATGTCAGATCATGGGATGAACTTTATAAAATCTCCCATTTCATATAAGGTTCAAAGGCCTATTAATGGCCTATGAGTCCCTGAACCATCTGGTCTCCACTGACTCCATTGAACTGATTTTTCCCCTTACTCCATTCCAGGTCCATGGACCTCTGTGCTATTCTTCTAACAGAATGATTCACTTCTACCATAGGGCTTATCCACTGGCTATCCATCTGCTGGAATGCCATTCAAACATCCACAGTATTCTCTCAGCAATTTCTAGTCTTTGCTCATAGATCTCTCCTGTGATGCAGTCTTTCCTGATCATTCTATTTCAAATTGTAACACACGCTTACTCCCTGATTCCTCTTTTTTTTGGTAAATCCATAATACTTTAGCCCATCCTAAGCACTGTATGTTTATAGTTATGTACAATTGCATATGATTATAACTATAATGTAGGTATATATTATATAGTTTATATATTTTGCTGATTTATTATCTAAGCTAATAGTTGAATTCCCTGATGGCAGAACTTTTTGTATACTTTGTTAAGAGATATATCTCAAGAACTTGTTGAAAGGTAGATAGAGCAATTAAAAAGTGATCATAGCTGGGAAGCAGTGGCTCATGTCTATAATCCTAGCTAGTCAGGAAGATGAGCTCTAAGGATGAGCTCAAAGGATTCTGAAAGAGCCCAGGCAGGAAAGCCTCCAATTAAACACCAAAAAAGCCAAAAATGGAGCTGTGGTCCAAGTGATAGAGTCCTAGACTTGAGCAACAAAGCTGAGGAACAGCACTCAGGCCCCGAGATCAGGCCCCAGAACTGGTACCAAAAAAACTTACCATAATAGTCTAAAAGACAGCTAACAAGGGTCCAGTTTCCAGTTTGGTCCTTTCCTATGAACACCCATTAGAAGTGTAGAGATGAATAATCCAAAAATCCCTGGTCTTTCAGAGGACAGTAGGCAGATAATTTCAAAATACAAAAAATAATGGAGCAAAAACAGGGTATTCTAGAAAGAAGAACATGTGCACAGGTTGGGGATGTGAAATGCCAACAGTATGTCCAGATGTGCTGGCCTGTCTGATGTGACAACTGAGCTGTGTTAGGTAGTTCCCAGTCCATGGATGAGTTATTCAACCAACACCAATCTATTTGCTTTGAAAGTGTTTTCACAGTGGTTCATATAGCCAGGTAACTTTAAGGAAGGGGAATTTTTGCAGATAATCTAGGTAGGACTGATCTAATCCGTTGATAAAACTTAAAAGCATTGCTGAAGCTTCTTTGAAGAAGAAATACATTCCTCCCACAGATGGCAGCTTCAGCTATAGGTAAGAGTTACAGCCTGCCCTTCCAGGTAGCCTGCTCTATAAATTGTGGGTTTTTCTAGACACTTTTCACAATGATGGAAATCAAGTCCTTGTCATCAATTTTTAGTATATATTTTTTGCCATTCTTGTTTTTCTGGTCAACCCTAACTGGTAAAAATGAAGGATAGAAGCAATAGGGAACAGATCACAAAGGCAACACACACACACACACACACACGTATATATGTATATTTGTGCCAGTCCCGAGGCTTGAACTCTGGGCCTAGGCATTGTCTCTGAGGCTTTTGTTGTTGCTGTTCAAGGCTAATGCTTTACCACAGCTCCACTTTAGGCTTTTTGGTGGTTAATAGGAAATAAGCATCTCACAGACTGCCCCACTGGCTTTGAACCACAATCCTCAGATCTCAGCCTCCTGAGTAGCTAGGATTACACATATGAGTCACAGGTGTCTGGCTTATAAATATTTTTATTTTTGTATTATCTCCAAATAGTTGTACAACAGGGGTTTAAAAGTCAACATATCAGTGATTTAGTACAATGTGTTTTGTTCAGTGTCACCCAGGCATTTTTTTTAATATTAAAAGGATTACACTTGGTCTTACCATCAGGAGGACTGGTGGCATTATAAAGGATGCACAAGGGCTGGGAAGGTGGCTCAGTGGTGGAGCGCTTGCCTTGCATGCATGAGGCCCTGGGTTTGATTCCTCAGCATCACATAAGCAAAAAGAAAAAAGCTGGAGGTGGTGCTGTGGCTCAAGTGGTAGAGCGCTAGCCTTGAGCTGAAGAGCTGAGGGACAGTGCCCAGGCCCAGAGTTCAGGCCCCACGACCAGACCCAATAAATAAATAAATAAATAAAGGATGCACTAGAACAGGAGGCAAGAAGAAGGGGGAGATGCTAGAGATTGAGAAGCAGGAGAGCTACATGTGAGAGAAGAGGAAAACACAGAGAGGTCATGGAAACCAAGGAACAGTGTTTGGGACACAACGTGTGATCTACCCTGGTCAAGTGCATCAGAAGAGCACGGGCAAGCATCTAACACTTGGAGATAATGGCCCTCAGAAGAGCCTCAAGAAGAGCCACAATGGAGAGGAGGAGTTACAAACTGGATTGTGTTGATTAAACAGTGACTGGGAAGTGCAAAAGAAGAACAAATGAAGTTTGACCTGGAGGGGAGACGGAATCAGTGGCAGAAGTGAAAAAAGGATACAGTCAAGCTAGTGGAATGGGAGAAGCTGGGATCTGGCAGATACTCAGCAGAAATAGCCAGTGGTTCAAGGGAAAAGAAAAAAAAAAGAAAACAGATGACACATTCTCCTGAGTAAGGTTTGAAAAAAGAGAAATGCCAAGGCACACAGTGAAGACTTGGATAGTGACAATGGTAAACCTAATTATTAGAGGTAAAGGGGAAGGATGGGATTCAAATATAATACATTAGAAGATCAAGGATAAAAAACCACTGGTAGTTCATGCCCAGTGGCCTGGGGATTTCTTGGAGAGGATAGGGAGCAAGGCTCCTATCTTAGAAAGAAAAGACAGTGTCACATGGAAAGAGGTGGAAGCTTGGTTCTTTATGAGCGGCTATATGATCACTTGCTGGGACATAATGAGGAAGAATCAGGATTGGGTGGGAGTTATTCTAAATGGCTTCTGAAGTCCTTTGCTTCTAAAAGCACCCAACATCACCTTATAGGAACACTGTCTTGTCCACTGATACTTCCTCAGCCCCCCAAACAATCCCTAAGACATAGCAAGAACTCAGTAAATGCTTGTTGAGTAAATGCATGGAACTTCTCTCCCAAATGAGTACATAAACCTTTTAGGTAGAATTACTAGACTTAAGGTAGAATCATTTCTGTTTTTTCAAGAGATCACCAATGTTTCCCAGAAGCCTTGAAACTGAATTTTATGTCTCTAGTCTTCGTCTCTGACCTCAGGAGAGGGGACAGGAACAAACTAACCAGTAACTCAGGCTTCAAAGTGGGTATTTTTAGCTTGAATTTTTTCTCTGGGATAGCTTGAGTAAATCATCATAAAAATGGCTAAATCTCTGTTTTATTTCATCATACAATCAGTTTTTATTAAGCAAATATTTATCACTGATTCTCATTTAGATCCTACCACAGTGAGTGGAATATAACCTTAATCTCATTCTTCTCTGATCTATCTGTCTCTTTCCTCTTAGTTTTGGTGACATTTGCTAGTGATGGTAGTGAAGAGGGGAGGAGAAATAAGACTTCTAAAACAAAGTAAGTTTAATTGTGATTTAAAAATAATAATAAAAATACAGGCTAGGTCAGGTTGGTACTGAATTGCATGCCTGTTGAGCTCCCCCATAGATTACCTGCGTGGAAAACTTTGGTTTTGCCATTGTTGATTCCAGAAGAGCTTGCCTCCATGTTTAGTGACCTTCTGCCTGGTGGGAGTGAGGAATGCCTGACCACAGGCAGGCGACGACGTGACCCTGGACGGCTTGCCACACTCCGCCGTTGATGGATTTGCAAGCGCTTTTCAGCCCCATGAATAGATAAACTTAAACCTGCAGTGAGAAATAACACCATTAGATGGGAGGAGTCAATTCAGAATGGCTACAGTACAAAATACATTCTGGCCTAAACATTCAGACAGCTATGTTTCAAACGCTCCACATACCCTGTGGATACTAGACCTGTGATTTCTTTTCACAATAATAACTGACCATTGCTTAGTTCAAAACAGATATCCGTAGTTACCATAACAAGACTTTCATGAATGTGGATTCAATAAAATGCTAAATATTCTCATTAAAATTATTTCCAGAAATCCTAGGAAAATATGAATATATCTGGCATCCCATTCTCAAAAGCTGTGGTACTTAGGAATCCGAAAGTGGTGCTGTGGCTCAAGTGGTAGAGCACTAGCCTTGAGCTGAAGAGCTGAGGGACAGTTCTCAGGCCCAGAGTTCAAGCCCCATGACCAGCAAAAAAAAAAAAAAAAAAGAATGGGTAATTTTAGAAACTGCAGTTGTTTCCAATTATGTCAGACAGCATGACAAATTAATGTAGAGATTGTTTTAAGTTTATAATAGCCCTGCAAACTCAAGAGATACACCCAGATTAATACTGAAAGGTACAGAATGCTGACACTTGAGTACTGAAGCTCTTCTAGAATCCTATCTACCTCCCTCCTCCTATTTTCCATGCTTAAGTCACCCATCAAGGACCTTCACTGGCAAGAACCAGTCGGCCCTGTCTTGTTCCCTTGAAGTCTTTCCAGGTTTTGTAGCCACTCCAGCCAACACTCTGGGTCTTTAATCTTTCAATGAGTCCTTTCCATGCAAAAACCTTGAACTCTTGCTCACCTCCTGGTACACAGATGGCCCACTTCTCCCAGGAGTTCAAGAGTCTCTACTGGCAAAGATCCTATTTTGTACTCTTGTGACTCCTTCCTCAACTCTGAACTAAACACTTTTCGTATAGCAGATGTAGTGCTTCCATCCCTTGTCCCTCTTCACTCTCCCCCTTTGCCCTCTGCACCATGCAGACTCATCTATAACACAGGTAACCCAACGGTCAAATCAAGAAAATATATTATATTCAATATATACTAGGCAGAAATTGAACTCTATAACTTGAGGGTAAGAATAATTGGGGATAACGAATGAAGGGGTGGAATTGATCAACATGCATATTGTACTCAATCTGACACATGGTATTGTAAGCTCTTTGTACAACTACTTAATAACAAAAAATTTAAATGACTTATTTATTTTTAATTGTCAAGGTGATACACAGAGGGGTTACAGTTACATAAGATAATAAGTATATTTCTTGTTGAACTTGTTATCCCCTCCCTCATTTTTCTCCCACTTCCCCCTCCCCCCCCCCGCCACCAAGTTGTAATATCATTTCCAACATATTGTCTTGTGAGTATTGCTGAGAAAATACATTGAAGACCAAGTGTGGTGGCATACACCTATAATCCCAGGAAGACTGCTATTCAAGACCAACCCAGGCAAAAATGTTAGACATTAATCTGACAAACAGACTAAAAAAAAGCAAAAGAATTGGGGCTGCAGCTCAAGTGGTGACGAGCTTGCCTACAAAGTGTAATGCTCTGAGTTTAATCCTCAGAACTAAAAAAAATAATAGAGGAAGGAGAAAAGGAAGGGAAAAAGAAGGAGGAGGAAGAGGAGGAATAAACAGAAAAGAAAATGACAGTGAACATATTTACTTGAGCAACAAATTTCTAGTTTAGTATTTCCTGTTTCTCTATTACTTTACCATCTTTCCTAGATTCCTGAGGCTTGAAAGTTGAAGCTCTCTCTCAGTTCCGAGACAACTTCCTCTCTAACTCAGCTGAGACAATGGGGCCAAATGCTGTAAACTTTCTGCTGTCCTTTCTTTCCCACTTCAAACTATCTTTACAAAATACTTTTCCTTCCTGAATGCTATCATCTACCTAATAAAGAACACAAGGTCAGAGCAGGGTGCAGGTGGCTCATGCCTGTAATCCTAGATACTCAGGAGGCTGAGATCTGAGGGTCGTAGTTCAAAGCCAGCCTGGGCAAGGAAAGCTTGTGAGACTCTTATCTCCAACAAATCACTAGAAGACCAGAAGTGGCGCTGTGGGATAGCACACAAGCCCAGAGTTCAAGCCCCATGACTGACCAAAAACAAAAAAAAAGAACACAAGGTCACAACTTTATAGAAGAAGAGGAAGGTACACATAGCAGTTAAAATATGGCTGCTAAAATCAATTTCTAGGCTCAAAGCTTATCTACATCATTTACTGCCTATGTTACCTAGTGTAAGAGATTTGATTTTTCACCAATAAAATGTGGATAAAACAGGCCAAACCACACAGGAGATTAATATAAAGTACCATAGCAGTTCCCAGCACACAGAAGGAACTTAGGACAAGTCAGTTGCCATCATTACCTTCTATCATAATCAGGTCATCAACTAGATTTTCATCTTCATTCTTCAAGGCTCTTAGCATTTAATGCCATTGTCTCTGCTCATTGTTATAAAGCTCTTATTTTGGTTTCTATGATACTTAATATTTTCATTACCTGTCACTTCTAAATTATCCTTCCTTTCCTGCTCCTCAAATGTGCATGGGGTGGGGGGAGTTCATTTCCTGCTAGAAAAAAAGCATCACAACCCTGATGGGTTCTAAAGGTGAGACATCTGATATCAAGGTGTTGGTTGGACCATTGTTCTAGAAGCTGTAGGGGGAGAGACTTCTGGCCTCCTTTCTCTCTTCTTGGTCCCAGCATCTGTTGGGTTCCTTGCCTTGTAGCCATGTCAACACTGTATATTTCTCTGTAGTCAGATTACCTTCTCAATTTCTTTCCTGCAAGGGTATTTTTAATATTGAGGGACCATCTAGATAACTCAGGATAATGTCCTCATTTGAAAAAGTCCTTATCTTAATCCCATATGCAAATATTTTATCCAAATGAAGTAATGGTCAGAAATTCTAAGGACTGGGACAAGGGTGTATTTTTTTTTTTGATCAGCCTAAACAGTGGGGGCATTTCACTAAGTTTGACTTTGGCCTTCTCTTGTCTACATCTCAGGCATTCCTTTTCTCTAAACATTGGCTGAGTAATTACCTCTGACTCCTCCCTTTGCCTCCGAAACTCCAAGCTCACACCTTCCCCCACCCCTCTTCTCTATCAGTACTACAACTTGAACTCAGGACCTCTTCATTCTTCCTTAGCTATTTTCAATTCCAATTATGTTTGGTACTCTACTACTTGAGCCACACCTCCACTTCCAGCTTTGCTGGTTAACTGGAAGTAAGAGTCTCATGGCTGGCTTCCAACTGTGATCCTTAGAGCTCAGCCTTCTGAGTAGTGAGGATTATAGGGGTGAGCCACTGGGGCTTGTCTTGTATCAGTCATGGGGCTTGAATTCAGGGCCTGGGAGCTGTCTTTGAGCTTTTGTGCTCAAAGCTCTACTACTTTGAGTCACAGCACCACTTTTGTTTTTCTGATGGTTAATTGGAGATAAGTCCCCCAGCCCTTCCTGTCCCAGCTGGCTTGGAACTACAATCTTCAGATCTCAGACTCCTGAGTAGCTAGATTTAAAGGCATGAACCACTGGTGTCAAGCCAGCATTCATTCTTATTTGAGTTTTCTGAGAAATTCAACTCACCAAAACATTATAATAAACAACATAGTAAGTATTTAATATTTTTAAGAGCTCAGATTTCCTTTAAGGTTGTCATATCTATGCTTGTTTCTCAAAAGCCCTTTCTTAATGTAAGACTTCATTCTCCATAAAACTGAATTCTTAGGTGCCTTTTCTCTCTGGCCCATTTCCAAGGGGCATTATTCCTGGATGCTTTACACAGCAGCAGTACGCCTGTGCAGCAGTGATTGGCTTTCATCTAAATGTCATTCCTGTGATTCCGAAGAGCTGTGTGCCAGGGGAACATCTGTAGCTCTGTCAGTGTTTTACAACTTGCAGCAACAGTGTCTATGTATCTCAGGTAAATTACTTTTCAAGCCAAAGGAAAATGCTACGTTGAATATCACCAGCATGAGCAAAACAAATGATGCGTTTATTCCTGATTTAAAAAATATAATAATCATCAGCCCAGATGCCCCTCAATGGATGAATGTAACAAGAAAATGTGGTATATTTACACAATGGAATTTTACTCATCCACTCGAAGGATTCACTCATCCATTTGTAAGAGAATGAAAAACTTGGAAAACATTATATTACATGAAATAAATCAGACCCAGAGAAACAAAGGTTTCATGGTTTCCCTCATCTGTAGTAGATAGAATATACTTATAGATCCATAAGTAAACACATTAGGCAATACACAAATGGTTGCAAATGAATTGACTGAAGCATTACAGACTCTATGGAGAGCTCAAATAGTATAATTTTTTTAGACAGACTAGATCAAAGCCCAACAAAAGCAGCACCTGGAAATGGGTATATGCAAGGAAGAGGGAAAGGGGAGATGGGCAGAGCAATTTAGATGGAAAAGAGAGCGAATGCGGTCAAGAATTCCTTGTATATACCACAAAATTAAGAAAAGGAAGGGGTGGGTTAAAAAGGGGTGAGAAAGTTGAAGGGGTGACACAGATCAAGATGCACTGCATTCATAAACTTCTTTTTAAAATGTCACCTCCTTGGTACAACTATAAATTAAAAAACAGAAAACAATAGAAATAAAAGAACTAAAAGACACAATAAATCTCCAGAAGAAAATATTTGTTTCTAGCTTATTCTTTAACAATAAAGTAGAGAACAAATGCAGTACTACACTGCAACACTGACCAGAACGAAGATAAAAATGCCCTTGGGGACTCTCCATTCCAGATTTACTTTCCTTAACTTTTGAGAGAGGGCTCTCTTAATGTCCTTTCTTTTAAAGTGCCAAGAATTCTATACAAATGCCCTGTAAAACAGATTAGACTGAGACCCTCCCAGGTCTTAAGGAGAAAGAAAATAAAGCTAAAAAACAGAGTTACCCATAGAAGGGCGAATGCCCTGTACGACCTTAGCTTACTCATGGTGCCATGAG